GCCAATGTGATACGAGGGGAAGTTGGGTGGGTAGTTGTGATATCACCTAAAGATGATTTCCCTAGACTCATTCTTTTCCCTTCTCCTGGGAAATGACAGACAGTCACAGCCTTAAAGCTGTCTTGGGGATGGCACAGCTTTGCTGTTGGCCCTGGGTCATTTGCTTTATCTTATTAAGCCACTGTACTCATTTTCATATCTCTTTGTTACAGTACCTTAGGGTGGCCCCTAACAAGTACAGAAATTGGGTACTGAATGTGTGGTGCTGCCATAACAAGAATTTAGAACATAAGACCCTGGTTTTATTATCAGATGTCACAGGCTGTCAGGATTGTAGTGCTTTGCAGGAGGTAGTCTGATAAAACTACCTTCTACTTGGAAGGCAGACTATGTGCTTTCTGAACCTGCAGTTCTAGAAAACTAGTTGAACAATCTCAGAACGCTGCCCAGTGTTGCCTGGTCATTGCTATTTTAGATCTGCTGAGAAGAAAGCACTCTCTACTCTTCTACCTCAGGACCACCTCCAAAGGCAGCTGTCAAGTAAGGATGAAAGCAAATCTGTTTGCTTGGCTTGAGAGTTGGAGAGAGTTGAAGTGGGGCTTCAGAGTTGGAGAAGCGACCTGCTTCTGTACCCTAAGAAGGAGATGGAAGTTTGTCCTAAACAGAAAAGTAGACTGAGGTGTTGTCTTCTGACTGAAGCCTATTGTTTCAGTTGGCATCAAGACAATTGCTATAAAAGGGAGGGAGTAAAAAGATGACTCAGCACAGTAAATACAGAAGTCATCTTTGTGTGTGTATACTTTCATGTGTTGAGTAGGAGGAAATAAATATGTTTCCATGAGCCCCAAAGCAGCTCTCAGGCCCCCAAACATGAATGAGTAGATAGCTGACCATGGAAGATGCTTCTGGGGTCCTGCCTCACATACGGGCAGCTCTTTATAGATCCACATTGACAAAGGCTTCTTATCTCTCTGCTTTTTTTTCTCAGAACCTTCAAAGCTAATAAGAACCCACCTAGGCTAGATGTCTCTAAATTCAAAACCCACATCACTGTCATCGAGTTGTTTCTGATTCACAGAGACCCCATAGGGCAGGCTATAACTGGCCCAGAGGTTTCTGAGACTTTAAATTTTTACAAAGAGTAGAAAGCTTCATCTTTCTCCCAAGCAGCTGCTGGTGGTTTTGAAGTGCTGACCTTGAAGTTAGCAGCCCAACTTGTAACCCACTATGCTATCAGAGCTCATATCTAGATGTCTAGGAAGTTAAAAATCCTATAAGTAATCCCTATACAATAAATTCCTTGGCTCCCTTCATGTTTGACAGGCATTTCAGAAAGACATTCTATATAGTTCTAAGAATTTCGAGTGAAATAAAACAACTGACGTTGTTGTTGTTGTTAGGTGTCATTGAGTCAGTTCTGACCCATATCAACCCAATATACAACAGAATGAAATACTGCCGAGTTCCGTGATCGAGGGTAATGTAACCAAGAGGAATTACTGAAAACCAAATGAAGATTGAGCATGACAGTGGGACAAGAGGAAAGTCAAAGGAAATAGAGGAAAGAACTAGGAGGCAAAGGGCATTTATAGAGGTCTAAATAAAGGCATGTACATATGTAAATATATTTATATATGATGATGGGGAAATAGATTTATGTGCATATATTTATAGGTTTAGTCTTAAGGTAGCAGATGGACATTGGGCCTCCACTCAAGTACTTCCTCAATGCAAGAATACTTTTTTCTATTAAACTGGCATTCTATGATGCTCACTTCCCAACACAATCACTGAAGACAAAGAAGGTGAATAAGCAAATGTGGTGAAGAAAGCTGATGGTGCCCGGCTATCAAAAGATATAGCGTCTGGGGTCTTAAAGGCTTGAAGGTAAACAAGTGGCCATCTAGCTCAGAAGCAACAAAGGCTACATGGAAGAAGCACACCAGCCTGCATGATCACGAGGTGTCGAAGGGATCAGGGATCAGGCATCATCAGAACAAAAAATCATATCATTGTGTGCTCACCTCCCTGATACCATTGCTGAAGACAAATGGGTACATAAGCAAATGTGGCAAAGAAAGCTGATGGTGCCCGGCTATCAAAAGACATAGCACCTGGGGTCTTAAAGGCTTGAAGGTAAACAAGCAGCCATCTACCTCAGAAGCAACAAAGGCTACATGGAAGAAGCACACCAGCCTGCATGATCACGAGATGTCAAAGGGATCAGGTATCAGACATCATCAGAACAAAAAATCATATTATTGTGAATGAGGGGGGAGTGAGGAGTGGAGACCCAAATCCCATTTGTAAGCCACTGGACATCCCCTTACAGAAGGGTCTCGGGGAGGAGACAAGCCAGTCAGGGTGCAATGTAGCAACGATGAAACATACAACTTTCTTCTAGTTCCTAAATGCTTCCTCCCCCACCACTATCATGATCCCAATTCTATCTTACAAATCTGGCTAGACCAGAGGATGTACACTGGTACAGATAGGAACTGGAAACACAAGGAATCCAGGATGGATGATCCCTTCAGGACCAATGGTGCGAGTGGCGATACTGGGAGGGTGGAGGGATGGTGGGTTGGAAAAGGGGAACCGATTACAAGGATCTACATATAACCTCCTCCCTGGGGGACAGACAACAGAAAAGTGGGTGAAGGGAGACGTCGGACAGTGAAAGATATGACAAAATAATAATTTATAAATTATCAAGGGTTCATGAAATGGGGGAGTGGGGAGGGAGGGGAAAAATGAGGAGCTTACGCCAGGGGCTTAAATGGAGAGCAAATGTTTTGAGAATGATGAGGGTAATGAATGTACAAATGTGCTTTACACAATTGATGTATGTATGGACTGTGATAAGAGTTTTATGAGCCCCTAACAAAATGATTATAAAAAAAAAAGAAACACTGCCCAGTCCTGT